CCTTCGCCCAGCCGGCATATAAAGGCGGGTCAGCCGGCGAGACCGAGCAGCGCCGCACTCAGGCTTCGACCGGTGGGCACCGCTGTTAGTCTCGCCCTTCTCGACCAAGCGCTCGGCGGACTCTGCCCCGCGAAAGCCCTCCACGCCGCCCGATGGCCCGCCCGGAGACCTTCCAGCTGCTGCCGAAGCCCCGCGGGCAGCTCTTCCCGCTCCTGGCTCTCTTCGCCTTGGCGCTGCTGTTGCAAGGGCGCGGCGGCCGCGCGGCTTCTTTGCAGGGCGTCGAGGAAGCGCCCCCCATGGCCAAGATCTACCCCCGAGGCAGCCACTGGGCAGTGGGTGAGTGAGGGTCCTCCGGCGCCCTGGCTGGGCTTCCCCGGGAGGCTCGCTTGGCCAGGAACGGCGAACCACGCTCTTGCTTCCAAAATGCGCGGCTCTGCCCCGAGGCCCATACAGTCTTCGTTTCGGCAGAGGGCGAGGAAGCCAGTGCGGGCATCTTGGAGAAGTAGGTTTGAGCACAGGAAAGGATTGTTTTCCGGACCTGGAGGCGCCTCCAGGAAGGCTAGGACTGTATTTTTCCCCAGCCAGCCCCCGGTTGGGAAAAACGAGCTTGGATGCCAGACTATGGGAACTTGCCATATGTGTCCCCAGTCTTCGAAAAGTGGGCTGTTTCCCCCCATCCTTGCCGTGGCTTTCCTTTTCCTTCCAATTCCCCACCACCAGCCTTCCCATCCTCTGTGGTATGCCTGTAAAACTCCACATCCATGCCTCTCTGGTGTCCCAGTTGTCCTTTAAATCCCTAGGCAAGAGGTCATGGAGAAGCTTGTCCCCTTGGGCTTTTTAAAGTTTGGGCAGCCAGGGAGGCATCGAAAGGATGAACAGCGGAAAGCCGCAACAGAAAACAGCAAAGATGCACATCAGAAGACTGTCAGCAGTGGCACGCTCTGCTGCCTCCAATGATAAAAATAATTCAAAAATGTAAAATAAATGAGATGTGTTTGGACTGCAGTAGACAGAATTCCTGGAGATTGGGAAGCAAATTCTTCACTACAATATTCACTCTTTCCAATTGCTAATTTAAGTTTGTTTGCTTGTATTACAAGTGTTTTGTGGAAAGGCCGTAGATTGGGAAAAAGAAAGGGAAGGAGGAAGATTCAGGAAGAAGGAGCTGGAAGGTAGAGGCAGAGATATCCCATTCTCTAAGCATTGCCAGAAATTTACCACTAGGAATTTACTTTGATGGCAAATCTAACTAAGATTAGAAGCATCATTAGTCAATATTAAAGCAAAGATCACAAACATATTCTCCATGAAAATAAATTGCCTATCAAGAAAAGGTGAATTCTACTGCAGTCATAATCAATCGAATGTTGCCTATTATTCATAATGATTTTATTCCTCTTCTGCTTGTCATAGAAAATGCCAGGAGCATGCAAGCCCCGGTTTTGGCTGCTGAGATTTAACTAAGCATCACCCCACATCCATATGGGTGTATATGAAGTCTAGAAAGTTGCTTTTTCTTGCTAAAAGGAAAGTGGGGTTATTGCCAAACAGATGACCATGTTCTGCACTGTATTTGACATTTGCAGAAGAGCAGAATAGAGAACCCATCATGGGAACTTCAGCCATTCTGCTTGCTTGAATTGTTCCAAGCCAAACAACTTGGATGCAATGGTCTCCAGATCCAAAAAGGACACAGATGTCCCAATTGACACTAATTTCACGGCATGTTCTTTCCTCTTGCAGGTCATTTCATGGGGAAAAAGAGCACCGGAGACTTTCCTTATATATATGAAGAGCGGCAAGAGATGCCCTTCTCTTTGCTGCCAGATAATGTCAAACAGCTGGGCAGCTATTTGCAGCAGGATGAATCCTTCAAGGAGCTGCTCAAGCGCATGGAAGATAGTGAAGATCAAAGCACTCAGGTTCTCCGGGAAGAACTGCCATTTTCTGCCAAGAATGTTTGGGGGACAGAGGAAAGCAGCAGCTTCAAAGACGTAAGTGGGGCTTTCACAACCCCATCTGATATTCTTTGACCTGCATTCTAGTTATTTCATCCAATGCTCTTCCGTTCAGTTTGCTTGCTATGAAAAGGTGTGCCAAGCAGAAACATTATCTTTTTTTCCTCCTGCCAGTCCTCATTCTGATTGATGAAAATTTGCTTTAGAAATTCTTTCTTAGGAGAAAAAGATTTCAGAGAAATCCTTCTGGGAGGAGTGACAAAGGAAGAATGTCCTGTTCCTGCACTTGCTTAGTTGTGAGGTGACCAAGACTTCCAAATGTTGAGGATGTTACTGCACTGATGCACTGATGATGTTACCTAGTTGGATAATAAAACGTCTGCAAGCAAACAACCAAGCTCAGAGAGCACCGAGGACTCCACAGTCCTTTCTTTCACTGGGTTGTCCTCATTGGCTTCCCGCATGCCAATGAAGTCCCAAAGAGGGCATCAGAAGGATACCTCTTGTTGGCCATATTCATTCCATATTAGAGAGAGAGAAGGTTGAAACGATTTTCTCCTGAAATTCTCTGGCCATTTACTCAACAGATTGGAATTGTGTGATGTAACTGCTGCTTTGGGCTCCCCTAAAAGCAAGACTAGATTGAGAGGGAGGGAATTGTGGGAAGGGAAAGCTGATTTCGGCTAAATATTAGAGGAATCTTATTAACTGATTGAGGCTGGGTTGCCTTTCACTGGAAATATTAAATAGAAGCTAGATAGAGCCTGCATTAAGTATGGGGCTGAACTATATGAATTTTAAGATCCCTTTTCACTTTAGGATTCTGAAATTATTGAATAGAAGAGAAACGATGATGGTATTAAAAAATTATATCCTCAAACCATTGTCTGAGGGCCATCTCTGTGGTTATCCGGGAGCAGTCTCTTCTTCCAAAAGTATCCTTGGTTACTCAGATGATACTAGCAAGTCCAACTAGAGCATTTAGAGCAATAGCTGCATTCTACACAGATGCGTCCTTCTGGATTTTTGCCAGATTTGAAGTTTAGGAAGGTGTTCTGGTGCAAAGTGGGGGATGGTGAACTTTTGGTTTTCACAATGGGACTCAGATTCCAGGGTCATAACTTTGCAGATGTTGACAAGCAATTAGATTTCCAAATATCATATTTGTTTGTTAAAAAAACAAAACAAAGCTTAGGGGTTGGGTCCAAGCGAGAACTCTCTCAAGGGGAAGCTGTGGAAATGCTTTTGCCTGGATGATTGAATGCTAGTCCAGCATCACCTATCAAGTTGTGTTCCAGCCTGAGGTCCTTTGAACTGGGTGGGACCAGTCTTCCCCAGTTAGTTCCATCCAGATATGTTGGAACTGAACACACCCCTAAAGGACACTTTTTAAAAATGGCTAATATTTGAAAATGGCTAATATTTGTATTAGAATTCTTCCATGAGTACATTTTTAAATAGGTGCATAGTGAAGCTACACCATGCCTTTTCCTAAGAGGACTGTGATGGATAATACAGGCATGTGCAATGGAGTCACTGATGCAACATTGAAAAAGAAAAAACCCTCTTGAAACCACTTTATGCAGTGGGCATGTGTTAATTGACTGAAAAGTGGTGATAACCTCTGATGTAGTTAGAAAAGGGTTAGATCAGCTTTCAACAAGAGACATGTCATAAATCTTAGGGACCTTCTCTTAGGTAGTGTGGATAGGATTCAGCAAGGGGGGAGCAAACTCTTTGATTCAGTATAAGGCAGGCCTTGTGTATTTGTATTAACTGTTTATATTCCACACACACATACCTACCTGCTTTTCCTTCTATTAGCAATTTTCTAACGTTGCCCTAGGATGTCTTTGACATTAATTGGAAGTTCCTGTGTGTGAAAAATGGTTTTCTCAGACCACATGCTGGGCCTCTGATGAAGTCTCATATTTTGTTAACTACCCTGAGAATCCTTCTTACATTATGAAATAATATTTTGAGATCTAGGAAGTCATTCTGAATAAATGCTAGGGGAATGTATTGAAAAACCATGGCCCTATTTTTATATATAAGCCAATTGCTTTCAATCAAAGTTATTTGTGGTAGAGTATGTGTAGAGATACATAAATAAATATGAGATATTGTAGGAGGACAGCTGTGTTAGTCTGTCGTATCCAAAAACCAGAAGGAGTCTGGGAACACTGTTTCAGACTAACAGACTTTACTGAAGGGCACAAGCTTTTTGTGAGCTGTGTTTTAATAAAATGTGTTAGTGTGAAAAAGTGCTCCCAGACTCCTTCTGATTTATAACACACACACATAAACCTCTCCAGGGCTGTTCTTCCACTCATAAAAAGCCCCTTTTTATTAACTTATTTCTCTAGTTTGTTCCACGACAAAAGCAGTCCATGATCAGAGTGTGGGAAGGAGGGTGAGGAGTTAGAGATTATATTTACTGTTCATGACAGTACCACATCAGCTGAAAGGGTGCTACCTATCTTCTTCCTTTCTTCTAGTTTTGAGATGTTCCAAGGAAGAGGAACACCTGGCCAGCATTGCTGGAATAGAAAACCAGTAACTCTCAAATACATCACTGAGAAAGGGGAGACTTGTGGTTTATTCAGGCATCCTGGGACAGTGGGTGTGTTAGGTGGGGAGAAGGGGTCTTCCTAGGCCTGCAACCAATGAGACCTCAGGGTCAAAAAGATTGCTTATTCTTGAGTTCAGAATCACACTGATCTTAGTAAATTTGCTCATCAGCAATCAGTTCCCTGCCAGTGTTTAAGCCAGTGTTTCTCAACCTCAGCCACTTTAAGATGGGTGGAATTTTGGGAGTTGAAATCCACCCATCTTAAAGTGGCTGAGGTTGAGAAACACTGGTTTAAGCAGAGGGCTGCAGATAAATTGGGCAGCAGATGTTGCAGACAACAGTAAGAGCATCCAGTCCCTGTCTGCCTGGGGGACAGGGTTGTGCACGTCCTAAACCTCCTCAGCTAGCTTGCTGTAAAGAAGATGCTTTCCATTGCTAGATGTTGCTAGAAGCTACATCACTCAGCTTCACTACAAGGGCTGTGGAGGACATCTTGCCTTACCTTGCCTACCTGATCATCTGATCAGCAGAAACTTGGTCTTCAGAGTCTACTCCTTTTGTGGTTGAGGGCTCTTCAGGCTGCAAGGTTGCTCACCCCTCATTAAAGAGTGTGAAATAGCATGCTTTTATAAAGAGGAAGACCTGTTGCAAGCACCCATATGTATTAAAACCAAACTGTTTTAGACAAGATTGTGCTCCAAACATTCTTCTTTTTTTCTCTCTCTTCTATCAGATGATGGAGCTCCTGCTGCAAGTAATGGATAAAAAGGAAAGCACTCCCAGTTGAAATGACTGCCATCCTGCACTGAAGACATAGAATAATGTCCTTAAGAGACTATTGTTTCATAAGCATTTTATTGTACATGATAACTAAACAATTATCTTTTCTGTTAAAACAAGATTTTTTTCCCCTTTAGTGTAAAAGAACCTATTTACTTGTTCCCCTAACAATGGCTACGCTTTTCGGTGGCTTTTTTTCCTTTCCAAGCAGCATTTTTCTTGCTTGAATTGCTTTGTTGTACATAATTGTCAATGAAGGGTCTTCCAATTCTCTGACAATACTTTGCATTTCTCTCTTCAATCATCGCATCTTTTATCTTGCAATCATCTAGCATTTCAACATCTACAATAAATAAGTATATATATTTAAAAAAAAAGTTGGCACTTTTATTGATCTCGGAGCACATAACGCAGCCAACTTGTTGAAACTAAATTGATCTTGGTACATTCAGCACATTGGGACTTAAGTTCCATGAGGAAAGAAATACGGGCTCAAACTTGAGAAATAAATAACATGTTTAACAACATGTAAAACAGTAGAAAACGTTACTCCTAGATTCACATCTGCATATTGATAGACGGGATGGGGAGTATCTAGTTCTAAGTCTATTCCATACTAACCCATCTATTTCACCAGGCATAAATGCAGATTCTCCCCTTGTGATTGGCAGTAGACTCATATTTACAGCTGCTACAACTATTTCTCTGGCCTGGCATCTTGTCTTAAAGGTAAAAGTCATGGGAAAGGCAAGCTAGGAGGCCCTTCAGTTATCTACCTTAGGAAAAAAACACTTGGAAGTGCTCTGGTGTTTTGAAGTAGCTCCTTTCTGGGAACTGGATGATGTCACTGGGAAAAAGAGCCTTGAGGACTGGCCTCCCCCAAATTATATCTGAGATGATCTTGGGAAGGATCTGATCTTGACTTTGCGATGTAGACGATTGCTTACATGTTCCTTGAAACAATGAACAAGATGGACCATCAATCAAACTAACTTGATGGTGATTTCAAAGCACTCTTCTTAATGGTGCTCTAAAGTGGAGGATAACACTGATGGCAATGGATGCCAAGCAGGCCATTGAAAAATAAGAGGGAAGGGTCAGCCTGCTGGTGAGAAATTTGCATGTGTTGTGAGTGCTCCAGTTTTTAAAAAAAGAACAGCTTTCAAGTAGTAGCTTAATAAGCTTGAACATGGCAGAAGGAGAACATGGGCTGTCAGGGAAAAAAGACTGGCTAGACCAGGGTTTCTCAACCTTGGCAACTTTAAGACCTGTGGACTTCAGCTCCAAGAATTCCCCACCCCCGCCTAACTCTGGGGGGGGATTAGTGGGGTTAGGGACCCAAGACGTTTTAGATTGCAGACGGGGGAAACAAAAGGCGGCGGG